AGATGATTCATAAAGAGGAGACACAAGTAGCATACAGACATAAGAAAACGTTCAACTTTACTACCTCTTATTGAGATGCAAATTAAAACTATAATGGGGTACAATTTTTGCATGAAATTTGAAAAATAAAATAGAATGTTGCTGAGAAAAAACTGGTGGAACTGGTAAATGATTGATAGCAATAGAAATTGCTAAAACTTTTCTTGAATTTAGATGCTTATATCTCTGGAATATATTCTGGGAATATAACCTAAGAAAATAGTTACAAAAAATAGGAAAAGGTATTTCCTGGCAATCAGCTAAAGGATTGGAAAATGGGAAATAATTTAAATGTACATGAGAAGGTCAATAACTGTGTAAATCATTCTATTAATTATATAATTCATTTGGCCATGATCATGACCAGTGATAAATAATTTGGACATTGACCAAAAATCACTGAAAACTAGCACAGCAAGATAAGCTATTTCTCAAGATATGACACCTAATTAAAAATAGAATAACCAAATTGTATTTACATATTCGTATCACTGTGAAAGAGAATGATGTGTATGTGAAGAAAAACTAGAACATAACATAAAATGTAAAATTAATTTATTGACTTGATTTTAAAGTTCTATTATTAATATAATTTTGCTGGGCAACACTTCTTTAAAATGTGGCAACCAAAATGAAAATAATCCAGGTATGCTGAAAAGAGAATAGCTGAGCAAGACTCACCTCTTTTCTACATGATATACTTCTATCAAGTCAGCATTATTTGTCTTGAGTTTTTTGCCAGGTTTTGTGGAGACATGTCATCCTGAGGCTTCACATCATACTGAATGAGGTCTGCTAAGCAATGCCTCTTCTCTCTGTACTGGGGTGGCTGATTATTTTGGACCCTTAAAAGGACACTTTTGGACCCTGGTACAGAATCTTACATTTGTTCCTGTTACATTTTTCTTGGTCTGTATATTCAGCCCATCATTAAAAGCTCTCAAGATTTTTTTGGATCCTGATTTACATTCCTCATTTGCTCTATTTCCTGACTGCATGTTAGCTATACATCCTATCCATATTAAAATATACAGAAGACTCCATCTGTTTACCCAAGGCCTTGATGAAAATGTTGACCTGAGCAGCACTGAATCCCAGGGCACATCCCATCTACTAATGAGCACCTTTGATGACATTCATGTTATAATTCACTGATCCAGGACACATTTGCCAGCTTTAACAATTAGAAAAAGTGATTGTCCTTTTTTTTTTTTTTAAGATTTTATTTATTTGACACACAGAGAGACACAGCAAGAGAGAGAACACAAGCAGGGGGAGTGGGAGAGGGAGAAGCAGGCTTCCCGTGGAACAGGGAGCCCGATGCGGGGCTCGATCCCAGGACCCTGGGATCATGACCTGAGCCGAAGGCAGACGCTTAACGACTGAGCCACCCAGGCGCCCAGGGTCATTGTCCTTTATAGGTGGAAAATGAAGGCTTTAGGCTTAGAGGAAAGTTCAGGTGATTCTCCTGGTTCAGGACCAGGCTTAGTTGTGATAGGGACCAAGTTTGCCCTGGGTGTTCAACATCTATCACCTGGACCTTTGCCCCTGTCAAGTCTACATACCCCTGCGGTGGCATCCATGCTATCGTACCATCATACCCTTACTGGTCTCCAGGGTCATCAAATGCTTCTCTCAGTCTTATGCTCCTGGAGTTATTTGCATTTTAAAAGGTATCAAAGTTTCACCTGGCTGGCTAGGTGGGTGGAGCATGGGACTCTTGATCTTGGGGTAGTGAGTTCAAGCTTCACATTGGGCACAGAGATTACTTAAAAACAGTAACAACCACAACAACAAAGTAAAAGGGATCAAAGTTTGAAAATAAAAGATGAAGTTCTGATGGTGGAATTCCAATCATTGACGGTCAGATAGAGATTAAAACTTAAAACAACTTAAAAACTGAAAACAACTGCTTCTCCCACCTTGGGGCCTTTTCCCTCTGATGACTTTGCACTGACTGAGAGAATTCCTGCTGGGGAAATTGATGCATCATTGCTTCTCATGCGAACCTCACCTACCTCTGAATAAATATTTTATTTCCCAAAATCCATTCCTACAAATTGCCTTATCATTTGCCAAGGATCTAAACCATCTGCCAGAGCAAGCCCACGTTCTCCCCCTTACTGATAACTAGGCTTATCTGTTTGCATTTCTGCTTATCATCTGCTAGTCTGGCTTATCTCCTTATCAGATTGTGTGTTCTTTAACACACTGGACACCATATGGCCCCCAGCAGAAGTGGCTGCATTGTTGCCCACCTATGGGCACAATTTATGTGCCTTTCAAGCCTAGTCTATAAATATCAGGTCCCCAGTACATCTGAAATTTGTTTGGACTGGGCAGATTTTACACAATTTGAGTAGGAAAAACTAAAATGTATAATATGCACTCAGAATAAATAATGAATTGTATATTTACACAGCAAACCTGAAAGAACCATAGCTAGAAGTAATATCACTGAATCTTAATATTGGGGGGAAAAAGCAAATCCAGACTACGTAGACCATAATCACGTTTTTTCTAAAATTTAAAAACAATTAAAACTACATCTTACTGGGGAGTCCCCTAAGCCACACCTGCTCATGCTCATGCTTGAATTCAATCCCTCTGGGCACAGCTAGTATTTATCCTTTTATTTCTCTGGCAGTGAAACCACAGGCGGGTAGAACTGGTCTCACCAGGTTCCCCAGGTCCAGTCTTCCTCAGGTCCTGATGCCTGGGTGCCACGCTTTCCCACATAGACCCCTATTCATTTCCTTAGTGAATACTGACTGAGGCTGAAGCAACCTAGGATTCACCTGGTCCTCCCCCACCCCGATATCACCTGCCCAGTTGGAATTAGGAAATGGTGCCTTCTCCATGGTTCCCTCCCCCTGTGGTCTCCCTAATCTGACACAAGGCTTTGGGTTTCTGAGGATCCCTCTCCTGGGTCTCTTGGTGCCATGGACCTCTTAAGAAACCCATGAACTCATCTGGGATTGCTTGGTGCTAACTGTATCCTGCATCTTGACGAAGGATTGCTGTCCCTTCCATGCTATGCCATATACACCTGGTTGTACCTCGGATGAAACCTGAGCAATAGGACAGATCCCCAGAGGCCACCCCACTCAGTGAATCTTTGGCCAAATCTGGACCCTCTTTCCTGACAGCACAGAATCTTGCTACTGGATGACTTTTGCAGGCAAATTCACAAATATATCCCCTCCATGTTCTTTCTGCTTATTTTCAGTCTCAGTTTATCTGTACCTTTCAGGTATGGAAAATTATTCAGTAATAACTACTGTCACACACATCATTTCCTAAGGGCCAATTATGTGCCCAATCCTGCCATGGATGCACTACCTCATTTTGTCAGATTCAGTGCACTTCTCCATTTCATTTTATAAGTTAATTTTGTAAGGTCTTGTTTCCCTACCCCCTCAGATTTTAAATGGTCTGCATTTCAAAAACAAAGTTCAAAGGGATTTTTCACTTTCAGGATTATGTGTTAAAATTGTCTTATGGTAACTACTTCTTTCTCCAAATCAGTATTTAAGGTTCTTTTGAAGCTCTGAAATGTTTCCGGACAACAAATGATAACCATCTGCTTCCAATCTTCCCTTCCTTTCCTACAAGAAACAGCTTTAACTTGTAGTGTAAATTACTGGGATTAGAGAAAATAAAGTATTTTCTGACAATGAGGGCTGTAAAAAAAAATATTGCACAAGGTAACTGGTGTATGCATGCTGGAAAGTTTCTGGATTAAGGATACTAAAGGTCTTGATGAGACATAGTCTCATGAATTATATTTTCTCTTGTGTTAAATTCACTTTAGGTTTCTCCCAGAAACCCAAATAATAAAACAAGAACTCTCCTCTCCTCCAACTTCTCTGGCTTCAACTTTGTTTGGTTGATTCACCACTTCCACTTATTTGCTTTCCCACTATCAGAATCCCTTGAATCTGAATAATTCCCACTACCAGTATCCCTTGAATCTGAACAATTAAGCCTGACTTTTCCTTGGGGAGAATTTTTCTGGGTTTTGCTTTCCTTCTTTAAGGTGTGTGTGTGTGTGTATGTGTGTGTGTGTGATTCTAATTCTTTATTTCTCCAGTGAATAATATACACTTGATCTCTCCAAGTGTTGCATAATCTCAAGAATTTAAGCCTTCTAAAGACAATCTGTTCCATGCACAGACAATTTAATAGCTATGTTCAGGAAATACCATGAGCTCCAAGTCCTCTCATTTTCAGACTGCTGTGGGATCTGCTCCTGCATTTTCTTCCCATAAGGGTGTTAGCCAAAAGGCTTTCAGACCTCGTCCCAGACAAGACAGCTGGATTCCTCCTTGGGACCTGCTCCTGCAATCCAGAACCAAAGAGTGAGGGGGAGGTGAGTTTATGTTTTCATCCTCCATGGAGCGGTGTGTCCTTAGATATATGGTTTCTGTGGGGAAAGTGAGTCTGGAAAAATGTGGAGGCTTTGTTAAGTTATTTTCTCCAAAAAGGGTTTATGTTCCTTTGGCTGGATTGGTGGGTTTTAATGTTTAGATCAGGGAATCTGGTGGTGTCTGCTGTGGCAGAAGGAAACAAATCTCTGCAAGGAGAATACACAATATCCCTAAGAGAGATTTATTTCTAAAACCCTCCCTAAGATTGCAAACGAGTTAAAAGGGTAATAATATATTCCCACCTTTAAACTTCAGACTCCCAGATCTCCGTAGTGTCCTCATCCAGTGTGGATTACGTTACTGGTAAAACATCCCAGGAAAGAGTCCAATGTGGCGGCTCCCGGTTAGGAGAGTGTCCAGAGTTGACAGGCAGACTTTCCTGTTTTGTTGCTCCTGGCTCGCCCCCTTTTCCCTCGGAAAGGTTGCTGATAGGAATGGGCGGCTTCTGCCTCTTCGGGGACCGCCTTTGAGACTCCAGAGCCTCGCCTGAATTTTCCAGAGAGAGACAGAGAGGGAGGCAACAGACTCCTTCCGCCGTCCGCAGAGGACGGTCCTGGGGCAGGAGAGTTGGGGAGGGAGTGAGACCAGAGCTGTTGCCCAGAACCCGGAGGGAGCGAGGAGGAGACGCTTTGCCAGACAGAGGCGCGTCGCTGAGAACTCAAACTTTGGCGGGTAAGGATTATAAGGGCTCTTGAGCTGGAAGTTCTTGGGGCGCTGGGAGATGTGCTGGGTCGCTGATTCCATCCAGACAAGAGGTGAATTAAAGAAGTCCGCGCAGGGCGGTGGGGCGGCGAAGCACTAATGCGGGCGTGGCGCTGTCCGCAGTCCCCGGTGCTGAAACGGGCCACGTCTTGGCGAGAGAAAGGGGCGAAGCAAGGGCCCGCTCTGGCATCTGTTCCCATCCCCGGCACACACACACCCCTCCAGCTGCGATCACAGGACAAAGCCGGCCCCTGTGCCCAAGTTCATCGCACCCCTTATACTCCCGTCCGGCAACCGCCCTGGGCCGACCCGGGCTGAGCTGTCAGGACAGAAGGCAGAAGGAACTGGACTGGCTCCCAATGGGGACAGGTAGGGGGTCTGGGCATGACACCACCCCGGCAACACCTCCCTAAGACACCCCGTAACCCAGAGGCTGGGCTCCATGGCTGCCCGCCCTGCAAGAGGCTCTTTGGCCGCCTCATTTCTGTGGCTTCAGGTCAGGGACTAGCAGAGTCTCCTGGAGTCCACGGCGCGCGCGTGGGGGGAAGTTGTGTCCGCGGTTTGGAAGCAGCAGGAGCTAGGGCGATCAGCGGACCAGGTTAAGGGACTGCCCACACTAGACCCTACTCAGCGTTGGGGATCCAGAGACAGGTGGGCTGAGGAGGAGGTAAAGAGTTCAAATTATTGGGCGCCTGGGTGGCTCAGTTGGTTAAGGGACTGCCTTTGGCTCAGGTCATGATCCTGGAGTCCCGGGATCGAGTCCCGCATCGGGCTCCCTGCTCGGCGGGGGGTCTGCTTCTCCCTCTGACCCTCTCCCCTCTCGTGCTCTCTGTCTCTCATTCTCTCTCAAATAAATAAATAAAATCTTTAAAAAAAAGTTCAAATTATTTAGGGAAGTGAGCAATCACAATTTCTTTTCTTTCTTCTTCTTCTTTTTTTTTAAATGATAAAAATAATAATCCGCGATCTTGGCCATTCCGGGCCTCAGGTCTTAGTGCTTAGGCATTGAGGAAAAGGGCAACAGGCCCTCTGATCCCTTGCAATCCCCTAACCCGATAATCATACGGGCTTTCTGTCCTCGTCCTCAGGCTTTTCTCCCAAGCTCAGCTCCCACCTCTACTCACTATTCCCAAGGGGGCTGGTGGAGCCTTTCCTCATGCTCTGGCTGTCCCGGGATTCTGTCCCAGCAGTCCCCAACAAGAGCTGGGGCTGGGTGACTGGGGAGATGGAGGGTTGTTTCTTTTTTCTCCCCTTGTGATTCCTCAATTCACAACTGCTCTGCTTTATGCTGTTGCTGAGATTTTAAACTTTGTCATTCTAAAGCGGGTATCTCCAGCTAGATAAGAAATGTGGCCAAGGATGAAGGGAGGGAAGAGCAGAAAGGACCTGAAGCCTGCCCCTGGGCCTCTGTCCATGGGTCTGGTGCCTCCAACAAGCAATTTGCTTGCTCAGGACTCCCCGTGCAAGCTCTGCAACCTCTCGCCTGGAAACCAGAGAGCCCTACAGTGGACGATCCTCTCCAAATCTTCCAGAGGGGCAAACTGGGGTTGGCATGGTCCTTTGTACCCCAAACTACTGGGCAGTGGTGCTCCCACCTGGGTTTGTGCTGTCCAGACCCCTAACTTTTTCTGTGAACCGTCCACCAGCACTGTCCGCCCCCCCCACCTCCCGTGCGAGACACATACACACACACACACACACACACACACACACACACACACTTTCCTTCATAAAACCCGGTAATAATATAATTGTCTGGGAACAAAGTCACATACTCCCTCGGTGAGAAATCACTGGAAGGGGTGGTGAAAAGTTGGGCAATGAGAGGGGAGGTGACTACTATTGCTGTCGCTCTCTGTGCCAGGTCTTGTATGCCAAAGTCTTGGATTCTTGGAAATTCTTCCAGGCCAGGGAACCCAGCTGGGATTTCATTGAGCTGGTGGAAGCTCCTTTAGTAGGGTGGGAGCGGGGAAGACACAAACTGCCCTTACTTCACATGAATGCCCAAGCACCCGCACTTTTCCTCTTCAGCCTCCGTTCATCCATAAATGGGGTCCTTACTGGGCACGGGATGCCAGGAGAGGGTGAATGGCTGCTCTGTGGGTAACTGGTCAGAGCTAGATCTCAGTCATTTTAGCTGGGACTTTGGCCAGGACTGAGTGTGCCCCGTGTCTTTGATGTACCCGTTTTTATGCCTTTTCTGTCCTCATTCACTATCTGCCAGCGGTTGCTGCCTCTGGTTAATAATGGGGTTGCCATGGTGACCAATCTCCTGTCGCCATGGTACCCAGGAGGTAAACAGTTAGAAGCTGCAGAGGCTTTTTGCTAGCTCCCCCAGATTGTGCACAGGCTTCGGATTTCCTAGGGGAGTGGGGGAGGGATGGCAATCACCAGGCTCTGTGAACAGCACCCCCCCCACCACACACACACACCCTGCCTAGAGCCCTGTTCACCTGAAACCTTCTCTGATCCCTGCCAACCACTGTGCCTTCCAGGTTCAGATGGGTCAAGCTTTTATTTTCCATCCCCAGTTGCATACACTGAGGTCAAGGGGTAAATACTTTTTCCTCTGACCTAATTAATATTAGGTGAACACTACTCCTAAGCACAAATCAAAAGGCTAAGTCCAGTGGGAGACAGAATTAAACAAACACAGTCCATGCTCTCTGACCTCACAGTGTTGTGTGATAGACAAGCCCTTATATTTCCTGTCAGCTGGGCTCTGCTCTGGGCTGAAATAGAGGTAATGATAGTGCTCTGAGAGTAGAGAGAGGTGGGAGTGACTGACTCCCAGAGGAGGTCATACTCTAGTTGAAACTTGAAGGATGATAGGAATTTCAACTGGAGAGAAAGAGGAAAAATCTCTCTCTAGACAGACTAGTGGGACCAAAGATGTGTAGAGCAGTCAGGAGAAGATAGATCCTACTCTGGTAATATATAGACTTGGAACCTCTCAGGGACTAGCCCATCCATCACTTATGCAACATCTGAGGTTTGGAGGAATTGGGGGACCCTGCATCATGGGAGGAGTCCACTGGCCAGAGCCTGTTATTCAGCCCTCACCTGGCCTGGAAGGGAGACTGAGAAATACAGGAAGTCCATGGTGAGATTTAGTGAGTCTGTCAATAGGAGGGACAAGAAAATTTGTGACACCCTTAAGGAAAGCATGAGTAATTTGGTTTAAATGGAGCTTTCCCTTTTAGGCTGATATGATCCAGGTTATGAAAAGTCTTGAATGTCAGGCTAAGACTGCATGCTGGAGAAAATAGGCAACCTCTGAAAGTTCCTGAGTGACATGATTCAAACTACCTTTTAGAAAGACCCTGGTGTTAGTGCAGAAGACGCATTCATTCATTCCTTCCTTCATTCATTCCATACTTCCTGAGCACCTCCTAAGTGCCAAGCCTTGGATGCATTAAAGAGGTGAGGCAATTATTTCAAAAATACTGGGAAGGGAGGCCAGGACTCCCACCCTCACTCCATTTCTGAATTAATGAATGAATGATGGAAGGGGAAAGAGGGGACAGATAGTTGGCGGTGTAACTAAGAGGACTTGGGGATTTTGGATCTGGGAAAGTGAGGGAGAAATAGGAGTAGAGGCTCATGCTGGGTAATCAGTCAGCTTGGGTGTTCATGATGTTAACGAAGACAGGGCTGCCGTTGGGGTGCTGCCATTCTGGATAGTTTTGTACCAGTGATGCTCTTTGCTGTCTATGCTGCATCCTCACACATTGCACCCTGGGCCTCATCTAGCCCACACAGCACTTCGTTTGCCCTCCTTTGCAAGACTTCACGCATTCCCTCTTGCATTTTAACAATGCAGTGTAGGGATTAAACTCAAACAGGCTTTTGTTCCCTAGTTCTGCCACTGGTGACTTTGAACAAGTTATTCAACCATTCTGAGTCTCAGTTTCTTCATGTGTAAATTGGAAGTAATAGTTTTAATACCTGCGTCAGTGGGTTGTTAGGAGGAGTAAGTGAAGTAATTAGAGTGAATTCCTGAGCACAGCACCTGACACACCAAGTGCTCAAAATCAGATATGAACATCTTATTACTTTTCATAATGATGGTGCATTACTTTTATAATCACATCCCCAAAATTAATTTACAAAAAAGAACACTTTACCTCTGTGCCTGCAGCTAGGCTAGGTGAAACACATCTTTGGCTTGGGAAAGGAAGGAAGGTACCTTGCCTGGCCTTGTTGGTCCTGGGTGTGTGTGTGTGTGTGTGTGTGTTTTGGGGAGTGGGGGGGGGTAGAGATGGAATTCTGAGGATAGCATCTATAGGGCTGGCTACAGAGATCTAGGTTCTCCAGCTCTAGCAACATCTGGAAAGCAATTTCATCCTCTTGGAATCTCAACCTGAGCAGCTGAATCTTATTGCAAAGCAGTCACTTAGAAATTGCGTACACTTAGAGCTGAGGAAACCAGAGTCCCGTTAATTCTGAGTCATCTCTGCAGAAGACCAAGACACTTTCTAGGCATGAGACATGTCTCTGTCTGGTGGTTGAGTAACATAATTGATAACCTTGTTACAATTTCGGTGCATTGTCTTTCACCCCAAATCTCTTCCTGTTCTTGGGAACAATGTTAATTTTTTCTCAGACAGGAATTGAAAATCTGCAGCTGGCATACCCAAACTTCCCTTTTCTTGTGTTATAAAAATGCATTGAGTTCAGAAGAGAGAGAACTCTACCTCAGAGCCATTCAGAGGTTTCCTTGGGAAATCAGACACAACAACCCTAACTTGGACTCCTCTCTATCTTGGTGTGGGAACATTCCTGGGTTTGCCTATCCTCCACTCCACAGAAAAGAGAGAACACAGATTCTGAACTCCATTTCCCCTCATCACCTCGAAGCTCAGTCTGAGCACAACTAGACGCACCCTCATGGTCTAAGACCTGAGTTGCCCTTTTGGACTTTTATTGGGCAGATGGAGGCAGCTTTGAATACCTACTAGTCCCAGAAA